GATATAGCGTGTTTTAAATCCATTCCCTTCTAATAATAAACCATGCGTATCATTCGAACATATCCCAACACTGTATAATATTTAGTGCAACGGAATTTTCCTGGTTAATTATTTAGGACACCGGTATTTACCACATGCCGAGTCCAACAAAACCTTTCGTCTTACAGATTCGGTGGTTACATCGGCGAACATATGATCTAATGATAATTACAATTCACCTGAACAGTTGTTGTATACGAAAACTGGCTATGCCTGTCGTATTCCCAGCCGGTCTGATGAGCCCTGGTATTTGACGAAAGGCCTCGTCGGCATTGGTTGTGGCAAATGAAAACTGGTTGATATGTTTCGATATTTTTCTTCTCTGCTTTCTCTCATGGGTTCATATCATTAGTCACGCATGCTCACAATTTGTGTGTATCATTTAAAATAAATTCACTGCGCCTGTTCGTAAGTTAGTGGAGCATAATTAATAAACCTTGAAATTTATGTGTGCGCGCGCGCGCACTTTAGAATTTACACCAAACTATCAACAACACGCGCACCGAAACGAAAACAAGCATAATTTTTTTTTTCCCACGGTGGCACAACGGCTTGTCTGCGGACTTACTATGCTAGAAACCGAGTTTCGATACCAGTGGTGGGCAGAGCACAGATAGTCCATTGTGCAGCTTTGTACTTAACTACTAACAAACAAACCACGGTACGTACGGCGAGGCAACGTTGTAATAATTTAATTTATGAAAATATTAGGAAAGCTTAAATACATTAACTTCTTATTAAACCAAACGTTATCTTAAACACTTCATACAGTATAGATATTTCCCCCCTTAACTCTTCGCAGGGCAAGCGATGCTAGTAAATATAAACGTATTTCTGACTATATTTGAGTAATAATATTACTCTTAATAATATCATTAATAAATATTGTTTATGGCCACAACGGATATCGAAACCCGGATTTTAGCGGTATAAGGCCGCAGAGTTATCGCTGTGCCACGAGGGGGGAGGGCAGCATTAATACAACACACACCGAGCCTAAGCCTCCCGGTTGCTCAGCGGTAAGAGAATTTATAGCGCTAAAATTCGAGGTTAAATTTTCTCAGCGGTGGGCAGAAGATAGATAGCCCATTGTACAACTTTGCACTTAACAACAAATAAACCCCCAGCTTAACATTTAAAACTCCTGAAGACTACGCAGAATGTGCTTATGAAGTCGATTAGTTTATTAAAGTACGACGCACGTCGTATGACGAGCAACTAGAAAAAATAATATGCATCGATTGGTTATCTATTAAGCGTTTTTTTTTTGTGCATATTTTACTAGGAATACAATACTTTCTACTCTGGATATAAAACAAGATATATGTATACAAGGTTTGGGGAAAATATAGATTGTTTATCCATTACAGCTTAAGTTATGTATATAAGAAAACCCGACGTACGTGGTGTAGATCCAGCTGTATTTGTGGCAAGGCTACTAAGGTTACCTGCCGCCATCCCTAATTCTGAACTACTCATCAGAGGTAAGGCAATCCGTCAGTAGCACCCTATCAGTCACCATCCTTGCTAAAGGATTGACTGTCACTCTTATAATGCACTCACGGCTTAAAGTGCGTGGGGGGGGGGTATCGCACGGAATCGAAGCTAGCTCGCATCACAGCTCTGAAATCTAGAGCTTTAACACGCGTAGTTTTAACTGATCTCGATCTTCCTTCACTCTAACACGCGTAGTTTTAACTGATCTCGATCTTCCTTCACTCTAACACGCGTAGTTTTAACTGATCTCGATCTTCCTTCACTCTAACACGCGTAGTTTTAACTGATCTTGATCTTCCTTCACTCTAACACGCGTAGTTTTAACTGATCTCGATCTTCCTTCACTTTAACACGCGGAGTTTTAACTGATCTCGATCTTCCTTCACTTTAACACGTTGAGTTTTAACTGATCTAGATCTTTCTTCATCATTGCACTGTCCTGAAAATTGAGAGCTAATAGAAAGAGAAGTTCTGTATTTCGAACTGAAACACACGGTAGAGATTAAGATACAATCTTAGGTATATTATAAATAAATAAATATATACATATAATGTCTTTAGTTTTATAACTCTTCATCTTTTATTTTCCGATTGTCTTTCCAAATACTAAAGCTGACAAAACGAAAGTACTGATCAGCGCAGTATCTGCGACTCTGATTAGATTTAGTTGAATATGAGAAGAGTTGATCCTAATCGCGAACTGGGAATTCTGGGTAAAGAAACTTGCACATGAACGCAATATGAATGTCTAGAACAACTTCAATTATTTAATTCTCAATGGCATTTTAAACAAACGAATATACAAGCAATCCTCTTAATGCAAGTTAAAAGCAAACGGCTGAGGCTCACTGGTTCTGTTATAATTTATAAACGCAGATTCTTTTGTGATTTTATTTCTTTAATTATAGAATAATGGAAAGATAGGCGGCGTTAGTTGTACTGCTCCGACCATGTAAAACAATTTTCGAGCGCCGTTCTCGTCTGCCCGTAATTTGAAGGTGGTGTACAAGTCTAACGTCATATACATATAAACGCAACAATTTAGGGAAGTTTTATTAAAAATACTAAATTTGATACCTAATTAATTCCTCTGTTTCTTAACTTGTTTGTTGAAATATTCAATACAACATAAACAAATAAATTGAACACTGAATAATACAAAAAACCTTTTTTTTTGTAATGAGTTAAATATACACTAGACAAAAACAAAAAAAAGCCCGTATATAATAAATAAATACACAATCACTACAGTTTTTCAAATTATCATTTCATTCAAATTTGGCATTACGACTGTGCTTTACGCGTATAGTTCTCGACTGATAATACCTACATTTGACTTGTATACAGATAACAAAGTAATTATTTACTCTATACCCTGTAGCTCATAATATATATTTATTATGGCTGATTTTAAAATATATATATATATATATATATATATATATATATATATAATTTCTTATACTGAAGAATAATATTTTAGAATAAAACTAATTAACTACAAACAAAAACATCGTAATTTCTATTCTACACATTAACAAGCGTATAACAAACCTCGCTACACACGCTGATATTTGTAATTTTATTGAATGATATTTTTAAGCTGTAAGAGAGAAAAGAAGGCCTAGCAGTTTTATGATAAACTTTATGAAACCCATGTTATTTGATTTTAAATATCGATATACACACTCGGTTTGGAAGCCGAGAAAACGAACCTAACGCGCGTGCTCAGCTTATCCGCATTGCACAGCTTATAGCCGCTGTACACAATTTGTCGTAACGCTAATGAAAAGTTATTTTCTCCGTAAAAATAGACATTTTGTTAACCTTTTTTAGCTATATGGTTTTACTATTATGTACGAAAGCTATACAGTACAGTAATATTTATAATTTATGTCGGAATTTTTAATATGAAGCTCCGAAACTACCGACTTCACAAAGGGGCCCTTCAAGAGTCTGGATGACGTTATGAACGAGTAGAGGGCGCATGTAATATTTCCCGTTTTAAACGAAAAATATAAATATTTCCCAAACTGGCGGATTAAAATAACTTTAAATGATACATTAAGTTTTCATTTCTTAACAAATAATAATTTTAATTCTCATAAATCGACCGACACGACGGCAGTTTGGTACATAAGATCGAGCGCGCGCGCAAGAGGCTCCATGCGATGGCACGCGAAGAACTTACACAAAACATAAGTGTCGGCTAAGTTTTCGAAATAAAATGAAAAATAAAGATGTCAGCGATCTAATACACTTTATACGGAAACTAAAAGTTACGTTTGTGTACTGGGCACGTGCTTGATTACTTTTAAAAGTAATCTTTTACTTCTTTGTGCCGTACACGGACTTGATGATCGCAAAGCAGAACTTAAATTTGACAACAGACGAAACTAATTAATGAGAAAAGCTATCGACGAAAAGACAAGAATTACGAGCTATTAACATATATTCTTCTTCCAAACATTGGCTAGAATTCTAATTTAAAAAAAATAATTATACACACAATCAGAAAAAATTACACACAAATACTTTTATCTCCGGAGTGCTAACGACTGAAGTGTTCTAAACACACGTGACGCTTATTTAATTAGTTGGACAATTAAAAAAAATAGTTTCTCTGTACTAAAAGAATATTTTCAAGAGCTAAATATTTTCAATCTTGTTTTGAACGTCTGTAAGACGTCACCCCTGCCTGATATAGTGGAAATGTTGATTTGCGAAAACCCGAGTTCCGGCCGCTTCGATCGTAAGTACATAGAATGTTAATAACCCGTTAAGTTTTTAATGATAATAACTATAATGTATGTATGTGTAAAAATCATAACATGTTAGTATTACCAAATACACTTGACTGAATCGGTACGTTCACGACAAAACCAATTCAAGAAATAAAAGGAAGATAAATAAATAAATATATATATACATATATATTAACTCACCATCCGATGTTTTACTTACTTTAAGAATAATTAGATATGTTTATCCTGTATTGTGAAGGAAGACAAAGACTTATCTTCAGTACGCCTCAAACACGTCCATAATCTACCATATTTCGTTCAAGCCCAGCCTCATAATCGGGAGTCGAGCGGCAAATACTCGAGAACGAAAATGAAGAATACCAACTTTAAATACCGACAAAACCTACGTTGTCTCTCAAGTACAAGTCTTTTAAAACACTTGAAAGTTATTATGAAGGATTAGAGCATTTTAGAGCTTTCATATTTAAGTCAAGATCTAAATACTACATCCCTGAATATAGACTTCGTAGGTACACTTGTAGACAGCAAGGGTATGAGTGACCTTCACAAGGGCTGAGCTATAGACTAGACAGACTCCCCTACTTTATCTCTACAAGCCAGCGATTGTTCATTTAACAAATCTGACTTAGTTACGATGTGAGGCTGAGCCGTTTTGAAGACTTTCACTTAATAAATTATTAGAATTAGAGAATGGCTTACCAAAAATGAGAATCTCAGTAAGCTTGGCTACGAAATCTCAGATTGTCGTCACAGAGGAAAGTGGCAGGGCTCTTAGCAACTAGAGAACGTGGAAAACACTGCCTATGGACCAAGCGGGTGGGTGGTGCTTACTACGAACTGCGCGATTTAAATGGCCGAGTGTAAAGGATAGGGTCAATCTTTTCAAGATGGCGCCCAGCGACGGGATATTAAATGGAAAGACAACAAGGCACGACAGATTAAGAAGGCAGTAGTATTTAAGCATATACTTATACGAGCCCCAGAAATTATAACAATTATTCTAAAAAGTTTTTGAATGCTTAAAATTTATTTTCTGAACAGACATTTTAAAGCGTAGGAGCTTTATAAATATTAAAATAGTACGAAAGGGACATAAGAGCTAAAAAATGTATTTATACACCCAAATAAATAAACGCCCAGAATTTTGCCTCACAAAAATGGCATAAAGCTCATTCAGATACAAATAAATCTTAGAAAGGGCCGGAACCTCATTAGAAAACAGGTTAAATTATTAATTTTAAATTTTAAATCATCGGAAAAATATATAAATATTCCAATGAATAAAGTCATCTTTTTTTACAACACTCTGGAAAGTTGCCAAGTTTAAGTTTTTTTGGTCTCTCTCTGTCTGTCTCCAAGTCAAGCTTTTCTTCCAGACAGCCTCTGGCCAACGTGCAACAATTCAAACATGTGTATAACCCCTTCAAGCTTACAGAACCTTTTAAAGTGTGTTTATCCTGGCTGTAAAATACAATTTTTAAATTCGAACAGCTTCTAAATGATCTTCTAATTACATTTTTATAACAGAAGTATATGTAGGTAAAATGTATAGAATTTTCGCAGTCTGACTTGTAATAATGCACCAAAGATATGAAAAACGAGTTAAAATATTTCCAAATCTTATAGAAAATTGAACGAACAATAAGTTATGTATGTCTCCTAATATTCGGAAATATATGTGTTCGACATTCAGTATATGTTTGAGGTTAAATGAAATAAGCTATGCTGTATATGTTTCATTATACGTTAATACGCTGTAGTTCAAGAGTTTGGATGGGACATTTACTGAGTTATAGTTGTTAACACGCATTTTACATTGATACTGAACTTTGAAAACATTAAAGTAACCGTTTATATGACATTAAAGTTAACTGATTATATGGCATTAAAGTTAACCGATTATATGGCATTAAAGTTAACCGATTATATGACATTAAAGTAACCGATTATATGACATTAAAGTAACCGTTTATATGACATTAAAGTAACCGTTTATATGACATTAAAGTAACCGTTTATATAAACATTAAATTAACCGTTTATATGACATTAAAGTTAACTGATTATATGGCATTAAAGTAACCGTTTATATGACATTAAAGTTAACTGATTATATGACATTAAAGTAACCGTTTATTTCACATGTTTCACAGTCATAATCAAACCTGAATCAAATGTAAAGTATGCTCTATGTCTGTGTCACCATATTGAAAATATCATAGTTAGTTGATCCTCTCTTTTTTCTAATTAGTTTAATTACGTTACACATTAATCCTGTTCACTGTAATAACAATGACTTCAGCTATACTCCAATCGGTGTACAGATTTAATTATCTTATGCATAAACTGGACTGAATTAATGAAAGAAACGACTTAACTTGAACCACCATAAAACCAATTGTTGAACAAGTTACTGACGTATCAAATTTACCCGATCGTTATTTGAAGAAAAATGGAAATTATTGCAATCCCCAAACAATTGAAACAGGACATAAAAGACTTCAATAAAATAAGCTACTTCAGTTATAACACCATGGAGTTGACTGACAGTATGTGATCAACGGACTGAAAATATGAACGTAATAAAGACAACTGAATTAATTGAACGAAGAAGAACGCTTCAATTAGCCTACAAAGTAGTGAATTCATTCCTTATTTACTCAAATGATAAATACGTACACATTCTTTGTAGCAAGAGGATAAGCTCCCATCAATTCTTCTGGTAAGGTAACTAATGTTATAGTTTCTGTAAGTTATAGTTCTCGTTACGTGATATTGTGTTTGGATAAGTGTTATCACGCTTACGTGAGCATATCCTAAACACCGTATAAACGATCTAAAAATTTATAACCTATTTAACCTTCACTGGTGTTCTACTAAATTATATATCGTTTACAAGTAAGTCGTCAAGTGAACATGGCCCGATTTTCAAGAAAACCGCGCGTCTTTTAAGAAAATTGCATTGATGAGGTAGTTATCTAGTGAGTCTTGTCGCTATATCTATATTTGGAGATAGAATTATATAACAAAATTCGTTAGTACAATGTTAACGTATATATATATTTGAAGTCCATTTAATAAGGTTATCCTTGCTACATTCTTCTTTACTACAACGAATCCGTAAATTTACCTCTAAGAAAAATGTAACAATCAACGTAATGTCTGTATGAGCAATTTCATACTTTTGAAACAAGATTCTTGTATAGCATTTATTAACGTTTCACCATGTATATATATATTGTTACGCTACATATCCTACCGTTTCTGATAACCCATTAGCGTTTCACCATGTATATATTACTGTTACGCTACATATCCTAACTTGTCAGATAAACAATTAGCGTTTCACCATGTATATATTACTGTTACGCTACATATCCTAACTTGTCAGATAAACAATTAGCGTATTACTATGTTTATACTACTGTTACGCTACATATCCAAACTTTTCAGATAAACAATTAGCGTTTCACCATGTATATATTACTGTTACGCTACATATCCTAACTTGTCAGATAAACAATTAGCGTTTCACCATGTATATATTACTGTTACGCTACATATCCTAACTTGTCAGATAAACTGTTAGCGTGTTTCTATGTTTATATTACTGTTACGCTACATATCCTAACTTTTCAGATAACCCATTAGCGTTTCACCATGTATATATTACTGTTACGCTACATATCCTAACTTACCAGATAAACTGTTAGCGTGTTTCTATGTTTATATTACTGTTACGCTACATATCCTAACTTTTCAGATAACCCATTAGCGTTTCACCATGTATATATTACTGTTACGCTACATATCCTAACTTACCAGATAAACCACATTTTCCATGTAAATTGGTTTCTCTCTGAAGGGCATATTCTAAACATTATTGAACATCTGTGTTTTGAACCTTTGATTTAACGTTGTTACACCTGCCTGGTAGAAATCAGCATTCACCTTATTACGTTCTATTCGACGGTGTACCATAAAAGTTAACAACTATAAGTCTATTAAGATATTTCTAATGAGATATAATATTTGGGTTTCTGAGCAGAAAATGCCCATAAGCTTAATTTTTGCTTCTCTTGTATCATCGGTGTCTTGAATTTCTCTATCGTGTGTAGAACTTGTAAATATCTTCTGTTTTACCATCCGAATAGGCAGATAGTTACACGTGGGCGGCGTTTTAGAAAGAAGGATTTGTAAAGCAAGTTATTACGTAGGTATTTAAAAGTTTGCCCTGCTATTTCACGAAGAAAATTTTGAGATCCAAATTACAATACATCTTGTAATTACTTCAAAATCTTTAACTAAAAAACATCCATGTAATATAAAGAGATCTTCTGCAGTTCCCATAATATAACTTACACATGATGTGTTGATGACTCAAAGCGCTGTAACTTGTAACTACAGGACGCATATACGACTCTTCTTATGCGTATGATACGGTTTTAAAGAATTAATTTTAGTCTAAATTACAATGTTTCCAGCTGATGTAAGAGAGTTGTAAGTTTGAGAAATCATTTCTTTATCGGAGCTCAACTTAAAAACTGGACAGGGGTTTCTTAAGAACTTGTGTTACTTGCAAGGTGATAACTGTCGATAAACTGTTTTACAGACTAGTTATATTGATATACAGATCTTCTGAAATCATCATACTGTAACAAGCTACTGGTACTGAGGTACCTTGGAAACTGTATTTGTATCATAAACGCTTGAAATCAAAGAAGTGTAACACTCTAATGTTATAAAAGTATATTAAGAACTATTACTATTAGACGTTCTGAAATTATGTATGCGGTATAACAAGCTGGTGTTACAAAGGTAAGTTAAGAACTATGCTGATACAACAAACGTTCTGAAATCATGTGGGGTAACAAAATGGTGTTACAAAGGTAAGTTAAGAACTATGCTGATCTGATACAACAAACGTTCTGAAATCATGTGGTGTAACAAGCTGGTGTTACAAAGGTAAGTTAAGAACTATGCTGATAGAACAAACGTTCTGGAATCATGTGGTGTAACAAGCTGGTGTTACAAAGGTAAGTTAAGAACTATGCTGATAGAACAAACGTTCTGGAATCATGTGGTGTAACAAGCTGGTGTTACAAAGGTAAGTTAAGAACTATGCTGATAGAACAAACGTTCTGGAATCATGTGGTGTAACAAGCTGGTGTTACAAAGGTAAGTTAAGAACTATGCTGATACAACAAACGTTCTGAAATCATGTGGTGTAACAAAATGTGTTACAAAGGTAAGTTAAGAACTATGCTGATCTGATACAACAAACGTTCTGAAATCATGTGGTGTAACAAGCTGGTGTTACAAAGGTAAGTTAAGAACTATGCTGATAGAACAAACGTTCTGGAAATCATGTGGTGTAACAAGCTGGTGTTACAAAGGTAAGTTAAGAACTATGCTGATACAACAAACGTTTGAAATCATGTGGTGTAACAAGCTGGTGTTACAAAGGTAACTTAAGAACTGTGCTGATACAACAAACGTTCTGAAATCATATATGTGGTGTAACAAGCTGGTGTTACACGGGTAATAAAAAATATGCTAGTATTATAATTGTTGCGAAGTTATGGAGATCTGTAACAAAACTAATGTTACGCAGTACTGTACAGGTTATGAAATTAAAAACCAGGCTTAATATACCGACCAAGTTTCACATACTACACAAGTTAATGTTACTTAGGCAACGAGTGGTCCGACAACACAGTCATGTTGCGTTGGTAAATGACGTAACATGAAACACCTGTGTGTTACACAGTTCACGCTAGACGAGTTCTACTCAAGAAAAATAGCAC